ATCAGGTCCTTCGGCTAATGCAGGAGTGTAGTCCACAGCATGGATTTTACAGTTCTCTTTGACGTCAAAGCCGGATGTGGAGATGCTGGAGATGGATAGTGCGTTGTCGGTTTTGATGACGGATCCGTCGAGGGGGATGGAGAGAGTGTATTGGGCGTCGGCGGCGCCGTGGAAGGTTAGGGAGGCGGTTATGAGAGGGGGGGTGAGGGGGAGTGAGTGGGTTAGGGAGAGGGTGGTGGCGAGGGCGAGGAAGGCGGTGATTTGCATTTTGATGTTGGTGTTGTTGATGATGTGAAGTAGGTGAAGATTTTGGGTAGAAGAACAATTTTGAAGATGTGTGATTGATTAATTGATCAGAGATGATGTGAACAGAGGATGTATTGTGATGATGAGTATTTGAAAGAAAGCAGAAACTTCTAATCCTTATATACTTCTCATCATACATTTCCAACATCACATTCTACAACTAGTTGCTATAGACAGACAGACGGCCGCAGCCGGCAATGAAGTCTCACATGTCATCCTAGCCACAATCAACATAGAATCAAACTATTCACACGGCGCTCACAGTAGGCATCCGCATCAACGACTCAGCCAAAACACCCAGCTATACGAAACCCAAGCTCACCAAACCTCAACATCTTGTCAAAGCCGCCTTCTAGCTTCCACTATTGTGTATTTTTCAGCTAAGATATCACTTGACATCTATATACGAAGAGTGTCGTGTCGTGATCAGCCTTCAATCTTAGAATAGGCTTGATGTCATGTCAATCAGGCTTGAAATAAGCTTCTCCTCACCGAATATTCCACACGTCTAGATCTATGATCGGAAAACCTCTAAGCATTCTCTCAGGTAATGAGGCTCATATCGTGATAGCTGAGAGGAATGTATATTCAGTGAGACAGAATACCAAGAACTTGTACGAGGTATGGTGATGTGTGTATTACATGAGAATTAAAGCTTCGATATTCGGATTTGGAGATTCTCGTATGACACTAAATCATACGTATTACTCCATAACCTTAAGCTCCAATACGGTATCTCATTGTCGGGTCTCCATAAACTTATGCTACAATATCTAGTTGCCGGGTTTTCGCGGAAATGTTGTTGGTAGTGTAGTCGGTATATCTCGTCAGCTTGCTTATTTTACCTACCTTCTCAAATATTCCCCATTCAACCTTCCCGTTCCCAAAAGCTCTCTCTATATGACGTGTCTATGTCTCTCCTACCCCAGTCACGATTCGCGCTTGGCAACATCTGATCGTGGAGGCTTTACAGTACCTATACTGAGACTTTGCGGAGCTGAATAGTCTAAATTGATAAAACAATCCAATCATGATAATATCCTGAATTGGTAGATTTATTATTAATTTTAGCAATGCTAATTATATCTCCTTTGGATGGACAATTAGATATAGGTTTCAGCCTTATGGGAAGAATGTGAGGCGATGCATACGATGCTGAAAAAGGCGTTGTGAGACATTTAATGCGACATCGTGGCGGGTGAGTTTTTCGGCGGGCGGGGTAATTTGATTCATCACGTGTGTAAGGTTAAGATGAAATCGATATTGGGGTGACTTACCTTGTGTTACTGGAGGTTGGCAGGCAAGCATGAGAATACGAGAAGTTGTTGCCTTCAGTACCGCGAACCCGAGTTATATGATAGAATTGTACGTAACGTATATTTTGGCGTTAGCATTGGCGTTGCTGGAGATGCTGGAGATATTGTGATGGATATGGATATGAATATGATACAAGGCGTTTCGGGACATGTCGCTTCAAAACTAATCGTATACAGCGGGAACCTTGCTATACTGGCTTTACTAAAAGAGAAAGAGAAGGAGATAACTATTTGATAATCCGGAACATCTATTTTACTACTCACGATGAGAACTCTCTCTTCTCTTCTCTAAAAGACCCGACCCGACCTAGAAAAGTTTTTCTCAGGTTTATTAGTTTCTCCAAATCCTAAATAAAGTCTCAATTACTACTCGAGTACAAGAAGCAGCTTTAAAAAAACTACCGTTCGCATGAGAAGTACTTTTTGGAAGGAATCAATCACACTGTCTAGCCAGATAGATGTCCTCGAACTCAAAATTCACCGTGACATCAAACTGCATTACTTCCGAATCACTCTCCCGATCTATCTTGCACAACCCTCACCACAATCCTCTTCCCCCCATTAACTCTTATCTCCAAAATCTTCCCACTATTGACATACATATAGTATAGTATACCCAAATATATTCCACTCTAGCTTTCCATTTCCATTTTCCACCCCAATTTTCCATTTCATTCTCTTTCTCTTTCCGCGTAGTGCTACCGGTACTGTATACTCGAGTAGATAGCATAGCATAGCGTGACAGGACAGAACAGAACAGAACAGGACAGAACAGGGCAGAGAGGTGTTATGTTAATGTTAATATTCGAATCTTATGAGTGTTGTGGAATATTGATGTTGTATCATGATGGACTGCTATACGGATAGATATGTATCGTTTATGAGATTGTACTTGAGTGCAGTTAGTTGTATGTGTATATTATATATGTTACTGGTATATTACCGGTATATCCTTCATCCTCTTATCTTCTGTCCTCTCTCTACTCTCCTCTCCTCTCTTCTCCTCTTCTCTCCTCTCCTTTACTCTCCTCTCCTTTACTCTCCTATACACTCCTATACACTCCTCTATTTTATCACCATCGAGCTATCACCATCAATCCATTTACCGCATCTAGTAACCGACGATGCAACAGAGCAAACTCCTTCCTTTTATTTCATCACATGTCATCTCATCTCATCTCATCTCCATAACCATAACCATAACTATATATCTTTGTTTTACTCGAGTATTAGTCAAAGACTTCGGATGCACTTATTTCGAGCTGAATCAGGCTCTAGAACCTTTGATATGCTTGTGTAAGTTCCATGCTATTGCTTGGGGTAATGTATAGTATGAATGGCTGGACATTTAATCTCCGCAGTTCAAAGCTCAAATCGACTCATAATTCTCCAATCAATTAGTCACGAGAACACCCTCTCCCTCTCCCTCTCCCTCTCCCTCTCCTCTAGACCCACCTTCCCCTTCCGTGACCGTTTCATCTCTCTTCCCCTTCCTCGGAACCAACATCCACAATCCAGAAATAGCCACCAAAAGAGCCAACACCACCGGCTGCAACGTCTTAACCCCCTTAGCCTGCGCCAGCGCCCCCACAATAAATGGAAACACCGCCCCACCACCCCCTCCAAACGCCGTCGCGAATCCAATACTCCCTACATGCAATTCCCTGGGCATCAATTTGGTAACCAGAACGATGGCTGTGGGAAACAAAGGACCGAGGAACATGCCTAGAAAAGCGATTGCGACGGTGGAGATGTAGAATGAAGGGATGAACCAGAAGAGAAGTTCGAGGATGATGCAGATTCCCAGATAGACGAGTACGGAGGTGAATTCGCCGAGCCAGGCGGTTAGGAAGGCGAGACACATGCGTCCGACTGTCATGCCGGCCCAGAAACCGGTGGATGTTAGGGATGCGGAGAAGGTTGTGCCGGAGCGGACTTGAGTCATGAAGGTTACGATCCAGCCTCCAAGGGATACTATTCTAATTGTTAACATTTTATACGGAATAGAATGTGTAATAAGGCTGGTGGGGGATTACCTTCAGCTCCTACATATCCAAAGATAAAAGCTGCGAATATCCAGGTTAACTTGTTGCTTAAAGCTTCTCGAAGTCTTCCTGTCTTGGCATTTACATCTCGAGGATTCTCCGATGCGTAGATATGACCTGTCTGAGCCCAGAATGCCCATGTAGAGGTAATGAGTTCGGTGGCTGCTACTGCGGTCTATCACCTATCAGTAAAGCATTCCACATAACTACCTAGAATGACCGAGACCAACTCGGACTACAAAATACTCACCATGATATAATAGAAATAATACCACTCCAGCCCAGCCTTTGCCAACATCCCAGCCGCAATCAATGGTGCTACCGTCCCCCCAAATGAATAACAAGCTTGCAAAAATCCCTGAACTTGATTGGCACTTGCCATATTACCAAGCCACGCACACCAGGCCGCATCCACTAATCCATTACCTATTCCTACGAAAACAAACATGACGACGAGAACCGGATATGGAGGATGAAGAGAGAGGACTATGTAGGAAATTAGATGGCATAGACTGGCAATGATGGCTACACCTCGTTGACCAAAGTGCACGTGCACGCGGTCGTTTATTAGTGATGCGAAAGTATAGCCGGCGAAAGGAGAGAGGAAGATCAGGGAGATGACTGTGTAAGATAGGTGGTAGTATTGTTCCAGCTTGGGGATTTTAGTTATAGGACTAGATATTTGCGAGAGCATACGTGACCTACAAATGGTATCAAGGCCTTGATTCGTTTAGTATATTGTAGACATTGAGTTTAGAGATGAATTTGAAGAGTTGACGTACACCATAAGAACCATCATTCATTCCCATGAGGAAGAATCCCCAAAACGAAGCTCCAACTCGGAAGATATTCTGACGAGGGTAATTCCATTTCTGTAAAACTTCTACGGCGTTGGTAAGTGGAATCGTATTTTGTCTGATATCTTCTGGATCGGACTCTCCATGTGTGCTTATTACCCAAGGTGAAGAATCATTGTGAAAGGATTGGAATTCAATTTGAGTAATAGTTGTTGTCGCCATGATCGATGGATATGTTTATTGTTCGGTTGTGAAGGTGATCATGAGGAGATAGATGGTAAATGCAAAGTAAATGCAAAGAGCAAAAGAGATTCATTCGCCTGATTGTGGAAGTTTATATACAAATATATATGCTCCCTCACCTATCATTATCTGTAAAGTATCTCTCGCTGTAATTCTCGCGATTATCTTCCAAAGATCTGGAGATCTGGAGAATTGTTATGAATTAAGGATAGTGTGGGGAAACGTGGCGGTGAAGGGGTTCTGTTTATAGGTATGAAGAAGGGTGATCTTATTATTATGATATAAGGTGAGACTATATAGAATCCACTAGAGTCACACCTTCCATATTAATCTCTAACACACACCTCTATATAGGAAAGCCAACCAACAATAAAACTATTCCTAAGCATATAAAACTATTCCCAATCATACTCATTCTTTCTTTGTCTTTACTATATATCCCAATCCTTGTATATTTGTTGATTTCAATCTGAAACTATTTCTATTGTTTTCAGCTTTTCAAACCCTTTATATAAATCTATACAACCTAGAATTCTAGACCCTAGTATTAAACCTATTCTATATTGTAATCTATCGATAGAACTACCAACTATAGGATTTATACTTTTATACTCTAATATCAAATGTATAAATATTGTAAACTATTATTATATCAGTTTGTTACTTTATAAAATAACTAAAAACCTATCAAACTATATAAGTCGTTGCACATCTGTATCAAGGAATATTATAGAGAAAGGGTTTGCTAAAGCTATTCGAAACTGAAAACTAATATATTGAAGGTCGAAATGTAAAGTACTGAAAATATATCTTCACTTTTTATACTGGTAAGGATTCGAAATTATAGCATTTAATAATAATAAACTTGATTTCGAACTGGTATATTGATACCAGGATTCTTCCCAAGAATCTATCCCTGCATTAATCACCATGAAAGGATTCTGTTTATAGGTATAAAGAAGGGTTATCTTATTATTATAATATAAGTCAACTACCTCACTTTTCGCCCACCCCTCCTTTTCGGCCATCCTCAAAACCCACACCGCCTCAGCAACCTACCTTCTTAAATATTTTCTGATTAAACAACTATTCAATCAATTGATTTCAAATTTTGATTTACTATTATTTATATAATATCGAAACTCTGTATTGAAGACGATATTGCTGCAGCTTTAAATACTATCGTAAATAATATTTCGATGCGAAAAGCTGCTCTGGAATATAGGATTCCTTGTATTACATTTTAGAATCGTATCAATAATTATATATTCTATCAAAAAGGTTCCGAAATGATGCAAAAGATTGCTCCGATTCAGGAGAAACATTTAATGGAATAGATATTAATATAAAAAAGCTTGAGTACTAGTCCTATTTATTAGCAAATTCAAGAAATTGTTGAATACCTCCTCGATATAAAAAAAACTTGATTCTATCCTTAGAAAACAATGGATATACAATTTTTTGAAAAGAAATCTAAAAATTAAAACCAAGAGACAATATAGAATCGACTCTATCCAAGTTTTAGATGCTTCCTATGATATTATTATATTATAATTTCGAAAACTTGAATTGCCTGAGATTATCGATATAAAATCACAAAATCGATATAATATAGATGAGGCTGGTATAATAAAGAATTAGGGTCTTAATAGTCTAGTAATAAAAAGCTTCCAATATCATTATATTCAAAAAAAAACAATCTGGTTTAAAAGTTTGGATATCTTTTATCAAATATATTTTGGTAATAGAAAAAACCCTCAAATTATTTATTATTTTCAAGAGGAAAACTATTCAATAATAATGATTTCCTACTAATCTTAGTTTTTATAAGGATTAGAATTTCATTGTTATAGAAAATAAATAAACTATCAATACTACAAGATTAAAATAATTAAAAAAGATATTTATATCTCAAACTATCTCCTCTGGGTCCGGTAATATACAATTATTTATATTAGATGAGTATAGAAATCATAAAACTATATCTTTCATATATAAATGTTTCGAACATAATATATATCTTCTATTCCTATTATTATATATTGTCACCGCGTAGAGACTAATCCCCTTCCGGGGACTAGCCGGAAAAGCGTGGATGTGAAAGGATACGGAGTATCCTTTCATATCCTTTGTTCTTTATTAGTTAGTTCGTACTGAAATCTATAAAGAACTACCTCATACCACTATGGCAGTGGTATGAGTTCAGTTCTGTAC